AGAAACGTAAAGTACCGGTTGACCACCGCGAATGTCGATCCATATCGCGTGTCTTGGCGGATAGCTGGTCGAAGCTTCGTTTGAGCCCTGTAGCCAAAATTAAAAACAAGTTAAAAATTATTATAATTAGAGATATGGTGTACAAAGCACCACGAGTTCCAAACAGTTATTACCTGAGCTTGGATGACTGTGTCAGAGTGCGCAGCCCAATCATCAGCTCTTGTACTGCATCGAGGTCAGTCTCAAAGTCCGCCATCTCAACTTGTACCGCGCGGTTAAGACGGTGGCTGGCGCAGCCAACCAATGACACGCCCATCAGCGTCGCTAACCGACGGCTCACTGCTCAGTTGTCAGCTTCCAGAAAGCAGCACTACCCAGCTGCTTTCTATAGTCGCGGAGCAGCATGGTGGCTCTATGTGGCCGCGAGCTGAAAGGTCCTCCTCGTCGTCGCTGAGGAGTGGGACTATACACAAGAGGGGGTCTTAATGACGCCGCCGACTTCGTAGCAAGAATGCACAGCAATGTAATGCTCTGATGCATGCGCCCATCCATCCAGAATTAGCCCGAAGCGTTCCGGTAGCTCCTCCGCGATGATGCGCTCGAAAGCGTGCGTCAAGCTGTTCATTCCGGAGACTAGTGTCTCGACAGAAATGGGATCCAGGTTACATTACCTAAATATTGCAGAGCACTAATTAGAAACAAAGGGTAAGAAACGTTTAGACAATAGAAATAGGATAGAAACAGCTTAGCTCACCGTCTAGCCGCCTCGTTCTCACAGAGCGACAGCGGTAGGTTGTTCTTCAAGATCCACTCTAACCAGCTGAAACAGTTGAGGGACGATCGAGGCACATAGTTGATGATAGACCCCGTCTTGGCGGTTGTAGCACACTGTAGAAGCTTAAAAGCCGCAAGACTAAGCTTTCTGGCCGCTTTAGTAGCTTTTAAATTGATCGCAGGAGACCAGGTCTGCTACTCAGCCGTTTCTCCGGTATTTCAAACAATACATGATGGCAATCGCAAACCCAGCCCTCCTTTTCGTGTACTGCTGCTATCGAACTTTCACTACCACACTCTGCAAAAATGAGAGAAAACGTATCTGGGCTCGGGGGGATTAAGCGAGTAGAGTTTGGTGGGTCAATTGCTGCTTTTTGGGGAGATGGCGTTGCTGTTTTCGCCGCAGATGGCGTCGATGACGAGTAGTTTCGTCAGCATTGCGAATTCAATCGTACTCGGCTTTACGCCGCTTCGCTTCTTGCTGTGCGTGTTATTGACAGCGCTTCCGCTTGACACTCGTACTTGCTCCAACTGATAAACACCGACAACTACTGCGTGCGGATGATTTTTAAGGCCCTTCTTTCGGCTAAACTGAGCACGGCTCATCAATTGTGCGACACTTTGTCCCTTTTCTCATGAGTTAATAAAACAAATGCGCGGCACAGTGTTGAAGAACAAAATGAATCTCTGGCGTACCAGCCAGCGATAAAAAGTTCGAATGGGACAAGCCTCTCAGCAACAAAAGCGTAAATTGTATATAACTGGGTGATCGAGTATGCGTCGAAGAGCTCAGTGGGACAAGTCTTTCAAGTAACAGTAGAGATCTACTGATCTACTACCAGTGGGTAGCTGAGATGCCGCCAAGAATAAGCGCGTTCAAAAATTCAGGGCGGAATAAATCGCCTGCGATAAGTTCTGCTAGTAAAAGGTCTAATTTGCCTGTGCCGAAAGATTATGTGTCACCCTTGAGGAAGCGCGGCGAGAAGCTGTCCCTTTGGGGGCAGAAAGGAAAATCGCGACAGCGTAAGGTATATTTTCTGCACTGTGATTCCTTATGATCATTTTGCTGGTACCAACGTACTGATATATGTAAAGAGCTGCGCGCTTATGCAAAACAATCAAGGGTTCCGAGTGAGGTCGTATTGGTTTTTGGTCGTTTTCTGTGGGACGCTTACCATATAAGCACACGATGAAGACATATTGTTCGTCTGTATCATTACGATGCGATTACGGACGATATAATTGAGGGTCAATTAGAGGTACTTTATGTGTACGTGATAAAATCTGCACTTGTCACACGTGTTGATGCGTTTATAGATTTAGAAGTACGGTGGTATCTCAGCCTTGACTCAGATAAGGAGTTGGTGACAGTCACGCTATGGGACGAAATCAATGGCTGCAATGGGATCCCTACACCTGGTGATATCGTATGCATTTCTCATTTTACGGGCTTGGATGTTTTTCGAGGCGAAGCTTGTCAGTTCAACACTAAACTGTCTGATATTAAAGTTGAAGATTTGAACAAAAGCGAGGACAGTGATGGAGGAAAGGACCGTGCAAGCGATGAACAGCATTAGGACCTAATGTTGATCATCGCACCTAATTTCGGGGTATTACGCATCCAGGCTATGGCACATTGCAACAAAGAAAACGACGCAAATGAAATGGGCGTCGGAGTGGCCCGATGCGGTGAAACCATAGCGATAACTTGAGCAAGAAGCACCGTAGGTACCACGTGTGATGTGAACATTTAAATAGCAAATGAGAACGATTTACCCCAAGTATAGTATGCAATTGTCTGCATCGATTGAGTGTGCCGCTGAGGAGTGCACGTTGCAAAAGGATCGAGCGTCGCGTTTTACCGTATGACTGAGCGGAGAATACCGGTAGCTTAGCCTCATTCTCGGATACGCACAGCACTGATGCGACAAAAAACTGTTTTAGTACTAAGATCGAGTTTGACGTCAAAGAGGTCGCGGCCTCGAAAAAGCTTGACCACGATAATTGTGAGTTCCTATTTAATAAAAATGATCCGACTTTATGGTCACTTCACCTTGTTGACTTTACTCATTGGGCTGCAAGAAGCATGCACGTTGCTGCTAGTTTGTTCTTGTAGATCATTAATGTGAACAGAACTTTGAGCCGCGGATATGTACTAATATGCATGCAAATGCCAATTGCAAAAATTGTGTTGCGAATTGCGGTTCTATTCTATTTTAATTTGTTTCTTGAATGTCGCTCCAGTGGAGAAGAGTGAGAGCTGATCAGATCTCCTACTTTATTGTTTATTACAGTTACTTTGCTTGAGGCTGTTATGGAGATATCTACAGTCAACGACTTGAAGATGTGCTATGAGAGGATTCCCGCCAAACACCCAAAATGTAGCGCAAAGATTTCAGATATTCGAGGTGTATCAGATTTCGAGCTCATTTTGCAGTGCGTTTAGCTTTCTGCTATTTCTACATCTTTAGATAATATACTATGTGAGAGAGACTTGGGATCGCAGAGATACTGTAGTTTACAGTACACCAAATCTGGTACACTGTGTATCGCTGTTTACGACATCAGTGGGTGGCCATAGCTTCGTTAATGCTGCTCTGTTTCCTGCGCGCGATGGATCTGTAGCTTCGGCTACTATAGCTTCGACTACCGTTCTGTGGGGCAGTATGCCAGGACCTCGGGCAGGCGTAGTGCCGATAGATGTACCCCTTTGTGGCACTGTCCTCTTCAGGACGGGGGGGGGATCGAAAGGGTCGCGTAAGGGAATCACAAAGGCGCTGAAGTTTAGCATTAGCGAGGGATTCCTCGTCGCAAGAGCCAAAAGTTTCCAGCTGTTGAACGGATCTGAGTTTGGAGAAAGTCCGGTCGTGTTGGAAGGCGAAAACGTATTCCTAAGGGTCAAAGAGCGCCCGACAGCAGGGGACTTCAAAGCCCTCTCAGAAATCAATTTTGCGGAACTTATCCGCCGGTGTTGGGTATGTATTACGGAGGTGGATATCCTATCATTGACATTAAGCGACGCCCCAATTCACGAGCAGTTTGTATTTGACTTTTCCGTCTATTTGGCACCCGTGGCGAAAGCGACGGATGGCATTCGGGTCGCGCCGCTGCAGCGGAAATTGCAGCAATCCAGGCTAATGGTAGAGAGCGGCTGGCCATCTCACGTAAAACGTAGGATGGTCTTTCGCATACTTGTGAGCGCTCCACTATTACATGACCACCGTGACGAGCGTTTCGTTTGGTCGCTGTCATCAACTATTCTGTCAGATAGGAATAATGCATACAATCGTTGCATCGTTCTAATACTAGGACCAGATACATCACTCACAATATTGTATGCGAATACTGTACACATGGATGAGAAAGACAGCACACCAGCGGAAGTCGTGAGAGTACAAGCTGCACTTGTACAGAGTTGGCAAAGTTTGAGACTATGTGTGAGTTCACGGGGTTGCTCGTGTCCAATTAAGCTGACAAGAGCTGATCTTTTTGAATTGCCCACATTGTGGCCAATAAAACCAAATGTGGGCAGTTAGAGTAGGACCATTTGCGATGTAAATTTTACAATAAAGTGGTCCGAATTGCACACTTTCACACGCAAAAACGACTGTTTTAGAATCAATCGGAAAATACGCTGTCGACCTGCATTTTTTATGGAAAACTTTTTCCTGTAGATCGATCTCGTACTTAAGTAAGTCGACTATGGAAAACGCCAAATCGTCTGCAAAAGCACAATTTAATACTTCCCCGGTCCGGAAAAGAATTAGCAGTTAGGTTTTTCTATAAAAAAAACTCGCATGTGTGATAGGTCAATGTCCATTCTAAGATGGGTACGATTGGTTAAAATGAGTTCGAATGAGGATTCGCGAAAATGGATTCAATTGATTTTAGTGATATGAAACGTTTGGCGGGACCCCGGGGTCCCACCGGGACCCCGGTATCCCCATCAGAAACCGGTATCATTTTTAAGTTGATTTGAAATTAGTATGACTGAACTTGAAGTACTTATTCTTTCTGTTGTGTGTGTGACGTGAAGAACTGCAAGATGGAAGGTTGGGTACTGCGTGGCTTTGCTGAAGTGCTTGTCTTCTTTTTCAACTTCTTCTTCTTGTTGCTACTGTTGGTGTCACTGGACGTGGCCTTGACATTCTGTAATGACTCTGGTACGTTTGGATAATAGTGCAAGTGCTGAGAGGGAATGGAGAAGTATTTAGCTGATAGTGATTTTAACTTGCTCGCTGATAGCTCCTTGACAGGGTGGCGAGGGAGTCGCATGGACGAAAGAGACGCTTCAAAAATTGTCTTGACCGTGGGGCCGAATAGATCCGCCAGAACAGCTTTTCGAACAGCTTCAATGTTTCCAGGGGCAACCATCGAGAAAGAAATAGAGTTTTCATCCGACGTTCCTGCTGTACTACGAGCAGTACAAACTCCACAATCAATCTCAAAAAGGTAGTTTGAGGTGTAACCCCCAGGCGGTGGGATAAAGTATTTGCTCAACAACTCGTTCCAGCCCACATAGAATGGTCGATTGGCATCAGTGTGATCTAAAAACACACCCTGTACACTTTTCACCTTGTTCACCTCTTTAATCAATTATTTTGGTGTATATAAGTTCAATCCTAGAGTTGCCCGTCGACACCAAGCAATAACGCGGTCAGCAATATTGTGAGAGTGTCCAGGTAGTAAATAACAAAGCACTACTTTCTTGTAGGGAAATATCACCGAAAGAAATGCGAAGAACATTAAAACTGCTTTCGATTTGTTCTGACCCACACAATTGTCCAATATACTGAAGCTCACTTCAGGAGGTGCCTCCTCGTTGTACTTAGCTCGTGATATAATTGAAAGATGGTAGTTCAAGCGTAAGCTACATAGCGCATTAGCATCTTTTCCTTGCGCTCGTTCGTCATAGAAATACACGTTGTTGACACCATTGCTGATGTCTGCCACTACAAAGTTCTGCAAAATGAGATTGCTGTTGAAATAATCCGCCGAAGGGCGAACATGACCATAGTACGGCATGGATATTCCACCTCCATAATCTTCTGCCTGGATCTGAATGACACATTGCGCCGTTAAAACTGAATCTTCTGCATTCAATGCTGATGATTCGATTTGCTGGCCAATTTCCATTTCGTTTTCGTCATGACACTGTAAATCAGAAAGATCTCCACATTCGGAAACTGCATCGTAAGTATCAGGAATAATACATTCGGGAAGGCTTTGCTCTGGTGCATGTATCGCTGAGTAGGATTTTATAAACGAAGAAATAAATCGCCGTTGGCCCATGGCACTATCGAGATGCATTTGTTTTTTTAGATGAAGAGACTGCCGTTCATCATCACTGAGATCAGGTTGTTTCAGTTGAATATCGATGCGTACGCAGCAGTCACAAACATCCTCAGCGGTGCGAGTAAGACGTACACCAGGGTAGAAGTAGTGAACGTATTGTAGGAACCGGGAATAACTCATGACACGCGCCGTAGGGTTTGTACGAGTAAGTTCTTCTTCATACCTACCGTGAACGACTGTCCATTTCAGATTAGGCTCGGTGAAGTACTGCCGAGGTCGTCTATGAGCACACGGAAACCCGTCTTCAAGTATCCAAGTCTCACAGTGTTTCTTCAGTACAGCAATATCATCGTCACTCAGTGCATGCCAAGGTCGTTGTGGCTCGCGACGAGTGTGTAGCGTTTCAACTCCCTCCTCCAGTACTTTCCGCAGTCTTGCAATGCGGCTACTACCCACAGGTATAACAGCTCGAATTTCTCGCTCCGATAATCCTTGTTGAAGAAACTGAATGACTATTCCTTCTGACTGTTGCCACTCGCTTCCATCTCGCCTTGTATTCATTTGATCCCAGTCGTTACGAATCCTCTTAACGGTATCTTCTCCTAGCTTTTCACATACACGTATATACGCGGTCTCTTTCCTGTCGACTCGTTTTGCACGCTTTCGAGGCGGGACGGCTGAACGTGAGCCGCCAGACGCCCGAGACGACATTTTCCGCAGCGACACCCGATCGAAACTGAAGATTGTGTCAAAAGTCGCGACTGCCCAAAATAACACAATACCGAGCATATTTTATGCGGGACCCCGGGGTCCCGCCAAACGTTTCATATACCACTCAGTTTGCACTTTTCTAGTATATTTTTAATTTTAATTCTGATTATTTTTGACAAAAACACTCCACCCCTCCGTAAAGTGATAGTTCAAATCGTCAGGCATTGGCAAAATTGGCTAAAAAATTGTTCATATAAAAAATCGTTCTGACACACCTTGCGCTAGAGGAAGTTAGCTTCCGAGAGTATACAAACTCTCAGTGAGCGGCAGTTCACAGGTGCCCTCTTTATTCAAAAGAGAGCGAAGTGACCTAATTAAGGTAGAATGTAAACTGAGTATATTTATAGGTAGATAAAGCCTGGGTTTAATACAAACTATAAGTCACCTATAGAAATGCAATGTCATCAACCAATAGTTGGCTTTGGACGACCTTGGTACCTAGTACCAAATATCCCGAAGTAGGACGTGTCATACTTCTAAAGTGTGACGTGTCACACTTCATGTAACCAGGGTACACTTAGGGCTACGTACCCCGGTACATCCTCCCCCATTTAGGTTCGGTTTACCGACCAATCAGAATGAAGAGGTGTTCGTCACAAACTTTCATTCTCAAAGTCGAAAACTCTCGACTTGGCCGCGCGAGGGCGGCGGAGGCTCACTTCACAGCTAGAGCTCGAGCAGCAGTCTGTGCGCTCTTCTGCTAGGTCTCCACTTCGACCGTTTACCATGCCTCGTGGCACTGCAAAGATCGGTGCGAAGACACGCTCCAAGGCTGCTGCCTGGAAGGCGCAAGCCAAGAGTACTAAGCCTCACGGCAAAGGCTCGGCACTTAAGGAGGCTACTCAGGTGGCCTCCGAGGCGATCGGCTCCTCAGGTGACGCGGCTGTGGGCAAGCGAACAAGCAAGCGCCGCAGCCCGTCGCCCTCGGCCTCTCCAGACAATCGTCCGAACCCTCGGTTCGTAGAACGTGAGTTCAAGAGGACGAAGCCGAGTCCGAGAGCACGCACGATGCTCCTGCGGGCTCTGCGAAAGGGCACAGCCCAGTGCCCAGTGAGCACAAGGATGACAGCGTGCAGTCGCTCGCTAGTGATCAAGGTGATCACAGTCTTAGGACGTCTGTGCGCTCTGAGAGTCCGGCCGTTAAGGCTAAGGGCACTCCCAAAGCTGGTGGCGATGAGGAAGAGAATCCTCGCAAACGTCTCTCGCTTGCCGAGGGTCTTGCGCGCGCTAAGGCCTCTAAAGCCGAAGGCGCCAAGCCCTCAAAGAAGCGTACCGCCTCTAAGTCTCCACTCCGCGAGAAGAAGGAGACTCGACGCTCCTATCAGAGTCTCTTCGGCTCCTCGGATGAAGAGGAGGAGAAGGAGGAAGAAGAGGAAGAGAAGGGTGCTTTCGTTGAGCCCCGGGGGGTCACGAATAACCTCGACCAGCAGCAGGAGGATTTCCAAGCTGCCCAGCGTGTGCGTGGGGGTTCGGTGGTGGCACCCGTCAGCCAGGGAGCTGCCATCAGCTTAAGAGGGAATTGGCCTCCCGAGGAGAGCTCTGGGGCTGAACTCTTCCTAGAGCTTCTCGTCGCTCCTCGTGGTCTTGTGGGCGGACACACTTCTAGGGGCACTTACGAACGTGCCCTTGTTCAGAAGGAAAAGTTGCTCGTTGACAACTTGGAGGCTGCTCGGTGTGTGCTTCTCGCGCCACACCGCATCCCCCTTAGGGACTTCACGACTTGTCGTAAGAAGCCCGAGACCCGGGGTGGTCTCTATCCTCTTTGGGGTACCCCTGGGTTCTGCTCGAGAACTGTCCCACCTGGGGTTCCTGTGAGGACATGTTCTGGGCATGGATGGGATGGAGTCTCTTAAGTACTCACCCACGGAGCTACGGGAACTCCATGAAGATCAGCAGCTGTCCCACATCCTGGACAGCGTGATATTCGTGTTCGGTTTGCCCACTTGGTCAGCAAGCGCATGCTGCCAAGGGACATGCTGAAGCGTGCGGCTTCCAGCGCTTACGACGAGCGCGGGTACAAAGTGTATTCAACGTCCGCACCCCGTTCGGGCAAGAAGTCCCGGACTACTTATGTAGCTGCCGCCTCTTCTGTTCCCATGTTGCGACAGCCTTCGGGCAGTCAGTCAGGAGCCGTTCAATCGGCTCCCACGAGTTCTCGGAGTGAGCATAACCACTCCACTTCACGAGGAGCTGTCACTTACCGCGACGCCGTTGCTCCTGGAGGATCCGCTCCACGTGAAGGTGGACTTCTCCATTCCGGTCAAGCAGGGGCGAAGGTGCCCTCGTACGAGTACGAGTACTCTGCGCCTCCCGAACGCCACTCTCGTCCGAGTGCTCCGGCTGCGGGTCCGACACAGGGCCCTGAGGTTGACCGCCTCCGTCAACGTGTCCTCGTGCTTGAGATTGCACTTGGCCTTGGTACTGGCGGTGATGCTGCTGCCCAGGCCGGGAATCAGGGCGAGCTCGCTCGTCTTGCGGGCCGCCTAGACCTGTTGGAGCGAGAGGTTGCGAGCCTGCATCTGCGGGCGGATCGCCGAGCCTCTTCGTCCGATCTGGACGAGGCCTTTCTCATGATCCGACAGATCGAGGCTCTGCTGCCACGTCCTGAGCCGCCTGCGGCACACTTCCAGACGTACGCGTATGGTGCGTACCCGGCGTACTCAGCGTACTCGGCGTATGGCTCCGGGGTCCGTTCGTACGGAGCCCCTCCGGCGTACGGTCTTGACCGCAGCCTTGCCGCTCCGACCGAGGCTTGGGTGCCTGCTCCGGCGCCCTCGTCGACGTCTGTGACCGGCCCTCGCTTTTAGGAGCTGGGCCAAGGTGGGTCTGCGAGTCAGCAACCCCCTGCGGATCAAAGTACCGCTTAAGACGTCCAACATAGAACGTCGGGTGCGTCGTCATTGACTTAGGCAGGTCGGTGGTGTACGACGCACCATGTCTGGCCAGGACTGCAAATGGTCCGATGAAGCGGTGCTTCAGCTTGTTGCTGCCGACAGAGCTGACAGTGTCAAGAGGTAGGTTCCTCGTGTCTAGTAACACTAAGTCCCCCACTTTAAATACACTTCAGTTTCCTCTTCCATGTTTGTCGAAGTACTCCTTTTGTTTATCTTGGGCCGCTGCCATGGCATCGCGGACCCTGCTGACAACGCTCAGCTTGGTATCCATAAAGGATTCCACTTGTTTCCGCAGCGAAACTGGTCTCACATCCGAGATCTGGGAGGAAAAGGCTTTCCGAGCCACTCCCCCACTTAGAATAGAGGAGTCGGTGTCTCCTTGAAGAGTGAGAGGCACTCTGGGGTGATGGAAGCCGTTCAAGTAGAACGGCGTGAGCCCCGTGGACGCGTGTACCGCGTTGTTGAGCGCAAACTCAACAACTGGAAGCTGCGTCGACCACGTGCGCGGTGCTGTCGCGCACACACTGCGCAGAGTGTCCTCGAGCACTCGATTGACGCGCTCTGTCTGGCCGTCTGTCTGCGGATGGTCCGCAGTGGACATTTGCAGACGAGTTCCCAGTAAAGGAAACAGCTTTTCCAAAACGCAGCCGTGAACCGCGGGTCCGAGACAATCGTCTCGGGGAGACCGTGATAGCGGAACACGCCATCGACGAACAACCTTGCGGTTTGTTCGCCCGTAACAGTGACGGGAACGAA